ACAATGATGATGAAAGTTACGCGACAGTGTAAATGCGGACACTTATAGAACCGGTTTTAGTTTCGCATTCGATAATTGTTAAATTTGATTGGGCCGCCATTGGTCGTCTTGCACAACGTCACGAACGTATGGACACACAGACTACGCATCGTTCGCACATCGCACACCGTTAACATCCGACGTTTGCTGACCGAATCCGCGCAGAACGGTACAACCGGTCGGAACTCGTTGCGCAACGGAAATCTATGTCTATGTCACGTGAAAATATGCCAGAGTTGTAAGATGACATAATTATATTAAATTGTAATGTCCTATCTACACACAAAAAGGAATGCTACCTAAAGTGCTAAAAAGTTGTCCTATGAAGGAAAAAGGATCCCACGAAGAAACTTCAAATTGTGAATCCTGTAACCGACATGTTTTGAAAGTGAAGGAAAAGAGCAAACCACACCTCACTCAGTTATTGAATTAGGATTATACGAGTATAGTAAGAGTTGCAACAAAATTAGCTAAAGTTGTTTAGAGTCGGCGCGTAACGTCCGCTCCACTTACCATCAGATTGGTTAACGCCTGATCAAATTAACTCCGCAATAGACCCGGACTCGACTGAGACCAGTATATCACTTACATAACAAACTTATTACCAGATAAATGGATTACAGTAATAGTAATAGATTTCTCGTATGTTTAATCACACATTTGTTACATATAACCTGATTACGGTATAATTTTTTCTAGTTACTTTTTGTCGTAACTTTGTTACTACAGCCTTCCTAAATAATCAAATGAGTCTTATTTTTATTATAAAAAAATCAGTTGCATTGTAAGAAAATGCAAGACTTATTTTTCTCACGAGACAGTACTGCGAAGGTTAATTGGTAATGCTATTGAGCAATAACTGGTAACCTTAACACCGCCGCTGCCGGAGTACCTGACACCTCTCCCACACTCACGATTGCTCTTCCAGAAATGTAACGCGACACTCCACACACTAATAAGCCGTTATAAACTGTACACAGGGCTGCAACTTCTTCGGTTTCGCATGAGAATTATTTAGGATAGCATGACATATTCTAGCTACAAGTTCGGGTCAGAATGAGTGGTGTGAAATAAGTCATTAGATGTCGCTTTATGTGCAAGGATCAAAGGACGACGCCTAAAGAGAAATAGGTTTATTCACTGTCTATGGTTGGACGTATTTTCTGTCAGTGGACGTAGAGTGTTGACTGGACACTGGTTGTTGTTTTTTGTTGACAACCCTAACTATAGTGATTCTTGGAGGCGATCACGCAGATTTTTAATTGCTCATCTTAGTTATCAAGAGAAACATCAACCCATCTTTGTACTGATAAGGTTTTACTGCGTAGTGTTTATGCACGAAAAATGTTCACGAACATTTTTGGTCTTCACTAAAATCACCTCGATTGGCCTAAATAATCAGTTGTATGAAGCTGCAGTTATTTCGTTAAACTACCGATGAAACTTGTTGTAGTTTTTTCAGTAACATTTTTAACGTCGTGATAAAAGAAATTTACTTACTTATAAAAAATTATCTGAAGCGTTACAAAAACTACTAGCGGTATCATTTTCGCAATTGCTAGTACGTGGTATAACGGTGTAATCTTTTGTCTAATTTGTTAATAGCACACAATTATTTGCTGAACAATGACACCCTTTGCGCCTTCTTTAAACTGCTCTCATGTACTGTATTTGTTTTTCTGTTTCCAAAAACCAGCAGCTCAATAATATTTAACTAGCCAGTATCCATGGCACACTTTTGACATACCTCTATCGTTTTATAAGAAAAAAATAATTGAAGTAATAACTGAACGTGCCACTTCGTCGCGCGAAAATGAGGCAATTTTTTTGTAATTTGCCGTTTCCCACGTCACGACCTCCGCCGACAATGGAGGCTGGGTGCGCGCTTCGCAACACGCCATTTGCTAAACCATTAGAAAAACACGTATTTTTCAGTATAAACTATTATATATAATATAATTCCTTTAATAGTCTTAAATACCTGATATAATGGCAATAATAAATATTCTTTATAATGGAAGATTTAATAATCACTATGACCTCAGAGCTGCCTACATCGCGCCCTCCACTCGCCCCCACACTAAAACCTTCACTTCAATGATTTAGGCAATCTTAGGTAAATTACCATACAAATATTAGTAACTATGCGGTCTGTGACATATTTATACTTTAGACGTCAGGTCTCTACTCCATGTATCAGTGTGGTGACTTACTAAATAAGGACATCATTAAGTAGATTTATTTGAACGAGATTTTTTTATATACTTGAGTCAAATTAGTTAAAATAATATGAAAAGTTATAGACAATTTTAATATCAAGAAAACAACATACTACTGCAAGGTGTATATGATATTTTACATTTGGATATGGATGGTATATGAAAAGCTAATTAACAAATGTATCAAAATATTTACAGAGTCGCTAATTATGAGTTGAACGTTTTATGTTGTTTGTAAGTTTTATGAAGTTTTTACCAATTCGGGACAAACCGTGGGCGACGCCCCCGCCTCACATGGAAGTGAGGGGCAAGGCACGGGACCTTATGACTTACGTAACATATGTATGTCGATAAACCACCGCGCCTACACAACCATGCTTTATTACGATCCAACATATTAACTGCATTCACAGGTTTTATGTTGTAATTAAATAAAAACATAATTTATCCATCTTTTATCAACTTTTTAGATACATAGTTGTATGGATGGATGTTTTTTAAAACGTATATTTAAAATGGCTGCATAGATCTCATTGAAATTTGGCACAGATGTAGAACATAGTCTGGAAGAACTCAAGGGCTTTTTACTAAGTTTTTTTTAACCAACCTAGGTAAATCAGTCTTTAAAAAATAATTATAATACGCTATCTTGGTAATTAAATCAATCACCCACGACCCTCTGTGGGCAGAATAAATTCAAGGGCCACTTTTCTAACGTAGGGTCAACCTTACGACAGGCCTGCCCACATACTAGTGTGGGATGCTATTTAATCTCTTTAGATCTAAGTTATTTTAATCGTAATATTATTTGTATTTACCAAAGTAGTAGTCTCTGAACGCACGAGTTGTGCTGGATGTTTGCCTCTTCTCATGAAAAAAAGTATTTGTTTTAATTTGAGCGGCAAGTTTACGCGCGCACGTGTACGCGCGAACTTGACATTGTCTATTCCTGCGGCGGAAGCAGCGCCGCGACACGCCGGAAGCAAGGGGTAACAATGTTTCGAGGAAGCGACCAGCGGCCTCACAACACACGCAAAAGCTAAATCCGTGACTGTTTGGGTGCCAATGCTGGGAATACATGCGTTTACATTTACATTTGTTTACGTTACATGACTATTTACAATTAAATTACCTACAAAATAGCTTAAAAAACAGATCAACTAAAACTATCTCCAATTTTGTCTACAAGTCCTAGATGCGGAATACAAGTACATAATTAAAGGTTAGGACACGTTACAAATATACCGCAATAAGTACCTTACGTAATCATTTCAACAGGAAATCTCTAAGAAATAGTAATAAAAGTCTGTCGATTCTTTTCGGATAAACTCACAAGAGAAGAATCTTTAATTTCATAGTATACTGTCATAACAATGGTACCTTCTGCGACTAAAAAAGCAATAGCTCATAGACAAAAACATTTACTTCCGAACATTGTTGTCATATGGAAAAAGTTAATGCTAAATGAAAAAAATATTGCGCGAGGGTGTGGGAACGCAGGCAGATGCGCCACCGAGCCACCGACCGGATCTCCGGATCTGCAGCATCTGGCTCGCGAGGCACAATATTACTACCCCCATATTTTTCATAATTATTTAATTGTAATAATTTTGATAAGATGGCTACATAAGGCCTGCGAACTTTTCACAATTTGCTCGTAACTTTTAGCTTAATTAACTTTTTGTATATTTTTATAGACTTTTAGTAACCTGTACCAACATTATGCTCTTATTGATTTAATCTTTATTAAACGTTTCGGACTCGTCAAATTGTAGTAGTATTTTTCTGAATCAAAATAAATATGTTAACTTTATTTATACTATCCGTTGAGAAGATTGAAATCGGCACATAAGAAAACGCTAAGCATAGCGTGTAAGATAGCGGTGCAGAACAGGTGGCAAGTCTCGTTCCCACACCACACAATAGCTTTTTTCAACATTCACAAGTCGCAGGGTACTTGAGCTCTCACACACATTTCGAAAAAAAAAGTTATGAGGTTAATGATGTCCGTTATTGTCTATGATTAATTTATCGATACTTTTCGCAACATTAATATCGATTATTCTTTATCATATAGATAATTTGACACAATTAGTTTTATAAATTAACCGGGTGATAAACAGATGGCACAGTATACCTACAATTCGTGTACTTAGTTGCAAAAAAAAACTAAAATATTACCAAAAAAAATCTTTACTGCTTATTATTATTTTGATACGTAAATAGGTCGCATTTAATTATATACTTTATTTTAGTAAAAGTTACGCACAGGATAACAGGACTGCTGAATTCTACTACCAGTGTGAAGTTTTAAATTTAAAAACCACTATAACTTCAAATTAAATTAACTAATTATTGTGACCTATATATGTATATTAATGGAGAATTCTAAACGAAACTTTTACTATAACCCGCAACTTGAAAACTGCAGCGCCCACAAGGGGGCGTTATCGCCCACTTTTGGAAAGACTGGGCTAAAGCAATGGCACTAGACGAGTCATTACAATGCCTAAACTCCATGTGAATGCCTCATCTGTCGTGTTAAAAAGAGTAGCCAGTTTAAGCATTTTTTGTGATACTTTTACTTGCAATATCAATTTTCAATTTATCATAGAAAATCCCAACATTGGTAAAAAAAAATCTGAGTACTGAAAAGTTGTTAATTTAACAGTAAGTTAATTTATAACTTGTTAATTTGTTTATAAAAGGAGTCAGATATAGAACACTAAATAAAACTACAACTTCTGTACAATTCTAAGTATATTTTAGGAAAGCTTGGCAGCATCACATTGTATTGTAAATATCATTTGAACTATGGCTATGGTTACCATTAATAGGAACTAGGATAATTCGGCTTTGGTGATGACTTCCTTTGGTTATGCCTTTTTTGTAACTGAATTGTGCTCCCAGTAGTAATTTACAGCTTCACCAGTTATGCTATTACTACTATATTACATCATACTATTCTTAAAACACTTTATTAACATGACTAATATATGATAATATATAATATAACAACACCATCTAGTGACAGAGTTCAGTAACAAGGAATGTTTGAATCTTTCTGACTAGTTTTATGAGTTGTACCACTATTGGTTTAATTATATTTATTTATTTCTGATGTTTGAACATATTGTACAAAACTGAGCATAATCTATACAGTGGCAATCCCACAACTGTAAAATAATCACCTTCTACTCTCTCAACAAATGTTCCACCAACTCCTTGTATTCCGTAACCACCTGCTTTGTCCCTGAAAATAATATTTGATGGCAAATGACTGTCAAGCCAATGTTTTTTGTGTCATAATCACCATTGAAACAGTCAATTTTTAAACTTACATACATCTAGGCCATAAACTACTTTGGCTTAAAAATGTTTAAAACTTAAGTTTAAAAAATATTAAGATGCAACATACATGGGTTCACCAGTAGCAATGTAGCCTCGGATCTGCTCATCATCCATTTCTCCAAACACAACATTTGTCTTTTCTGTAAACTTAACTATTTCATCAAATGACTTCACAACAACTCCAGTGTAAACAGTGTGTGTTCTACCTGACAGTCTGGAAATGCGTGATTTCATATAAAATTAAGCATATTGTTCAAAACTAAAATAACAGTAAGATATAAGCTTGCCTTCTTAACATCTGAAATGCATCTAACTCTGTTGTTGGTTTACCAAACAATTCACCATCTAAGGTGACCATTGTATCGGCGCCGATAACGACATCAGGTTTGTGGGACTGATTTTTTAGTCTATCGTCAACTTCAAGCACTTTCTGCAAGGCCGTTTCCTCAACAAACTCTGAAAAAGTGGCAAAGCTTTTCGGGTCCAAATTTTCCTCAAAAAGTGATGGACACAAACTGACTTTAAGACCCTAAAATTTGATTGAAACATTTAACCTCTCTTATCCTAAACTTTTCTTTTAGTTAGTATGAAATGTACTAAAAATATCAAATATTTAGGTTATCTTACAATGTTTTCAATGAGTTCTTTTCGCCTGGGAGACCCACTTGCCAGAATAATATTTTTTTGTTTGAGAATATGCATCACAGGTTCCAGCATTTTAGTATGCAAGTCAGAGTTAGATAAAAAACAATTATTTACAAGACTGTAGAATTATACAAAAATTCAAATATGAATAATTGCGGAAGCGAAACTCACTTTTCAGTGTGACAGAGACAGTGACAGTTGTCACAAGTCTGTCAGACCAACTTGTTATACTCTTATATACTCTTTGATCTGATTATTTCTTTTTAAGATTTTGCATTCTGTTTTTATTTCATTAAGGGACTTTCATTGAATTTTTGGGCTTAAAAATTATCGGAGATGCATAAAATTATTTCCCCATATTTTACTTTAAGGAAAACTTAGGAATTAAATAAATTGGGTTGATACTTTATAATATATTGAATTGATAAAAACAGATGCTTACAGAACTGTATTGTTACAGTTTTCAACAATTTACTTCCTATCTTTCAATATTATAAAACAAGGACTTTGTAACTAAAAAAATTTATAACTTTTAAAATTAATTTTAATAGTATCTGTTTAAAATATGTTGATAATCTACAAATCTAAATTGTTAAGTCACAGCTACTCTTTGCCACACTCCTGTCTATGTCGATTCGGCTTCGGCTTCTTTCCGTTTTTAGTTGTATTTATTCGTAATACCGCTCGTTCATATCGTTTGTTAGCTTAATATTAAGGATATGATGGTAATGGATGAATAATATATATAAAAATGAAGTCCGTTGTGGCTTACGTGCGCAGTCTTCTTGGTTGGTGCGATAGTGAACAATCTTTGAGAACAAACTTGAAACGCGACAGGTATGGATATGACATTTCTTGTTTACAACGTTAGCAATTCGTTATGGCGGTAAAGCTTTTGAGTTTCAGATAAACGAGGACTAAAACATAATAACATGTACAAAATACCGTTACGACTTGCTTCGAAGTTTTGGATGTCGGTACAATTTCATTGTTGTTATGAATGTCAATGTGCTTCAACAATTTTAACGTTACATTAATTGCAGGGCGGATGACGAATCGTCCTCTGATGATGATTTGCCCTCGTTAAAAAGGTTCAGACAATTGAGGAAGACCAATTTTCCAGATGTCATGTCAACAAACGGTAAAATATTTTACAATGATTTATTTAACCTTAATGAAAATTAAACCTTTGACAGTTTGTATGTGTTTTAGATCTTTCGGAAATCAAGACTGTTAAGCCAGCCAAGAATGTACGATATGTTCCGATTCAGATAGAATCTGGTCACCCCAGTACTTCAACCCCTAATGTGTTACCTGTAAGAACACCAACAAGGTTGCGATTGGTATCAGATATAGTTGGAGATGTCAATAAGAATGGCTCAACATATTTATTGAAATCTAAGGTTAGGAGTCCTGTGAGACAGGTGGTACAGGCTGTGGTAGATGATAGTGACGAGGATGAGGAACCAAAGGTATGCTATATCAAAACAATAAACATAATACATCTTGCTATTTATGATTGGTTTTACCAATGCTACATATAAAGATAAGAGTTATTTTATTAAAACTAACTCATTATTCTCTGTTATTTAATCATTCTTTTTTACATGTATTTATTTTAGGTATCATGGGTTGAAAGCAAACCAGATACCAAAAAGACAGTATACATTAATTTAGATGAAGATGAAATAGAGAAAGAAGATGATGTTATTCTGGTCAGAGAAGTATCTCCACCACAACCGGCAAAACAATACAAATATGTTTTATCTAATAATGAGGAACTTGGGTCCAAAAGTAATAAGCAGTATTACAGGCTCACAAAAATCAAAGATAAAGAGGAAAAAACATCACCAAGAATCCACAGCTTGAAAACACACGGTGGGATCAGTAAATCTTACAAGAAGGTTACTCCTCTTCCCAATTGGATGCAAAAACAAAATTTAAATCTTTCTCCGAAAAGAAATAGAGTCTCAAACCTGAATGGAAACGGTAGAACAATGCTGTCTGAAGTGTTTAACTTACATGAAAAACGTAATTACCAAGAATTAATTAGGCGTGTTGCAACCAGCACCACACCTTTGACATTTAGTAAACCTGTGGACATAATAAATTTAGCAGAAGAAACTGCATCATTTCGCAACACTTTAAAATCGCAGAAAAGATCATTGAATGAATTAAAGTTATTGGAAAAAGATCTTAGTATTAACAAAGAGAATCAAGATGCAGAGGAATATGATCCTGTTACTGTGGCTTCACTTAATCTGTCAGATTCCGATGTTGAAGTTGTACCATCTGAGTGCTCAACCACATCCTCAACGAAAATAACTCCTGTGAATTCTTTGCGTGACTCATTGAACGATAAAGATATCACAGCCAAAGACTGGCTACCTAAATTACATGATAAATATAAAAAGAAGAAAGAATATACCAATAAAAAAATAGAAAATGCCCGTAGAGAGTCTGACATCATATCTAAAGTAAACCATGAACAAAGCATAGCACTTATAGCTAATAAGTTTAAATATGAATTAAGTTTACCGGAGAGTTTAATTGAGGAAGTTCCAGCAACTCCAGATTTTCCTAAATTGAGTCCAGAACAAGAGCAACTGATCAAAAGGGCTCTAGGACCAGGACCATTGGACCAGGTGTTTGTGCAAAAATTCCGTATGAGTATCCGCAGGTGAGTTTAAATTTAATCACATTCCATTCTTCATTTTTACAATGAATTGTTTTATTTAACAAGAAATTTTGTCACTTAGGCGAGATCTACAAACGTTGTCTGGCCTGAACTGGCTAAATGATGAGGTGATCAACTTCTACATGGAGTTGATAACGCAAAGGAGTGAGCAACGCCCTGACTTACCCAAGGTTCACCACTTCAACACTTTCTTTTATCCTAAACTGATGCGACAGGGTCAAGCCGCCTTGCAGCGTTGGACTAAGAAGGTAATTGTCACTAGCTAGTTCTTTCCTTGCAATAAGTGGTTTCAAATGAAATGTCTCATGCGTGGATGTTTATATTATTAATAGCTTTGTTTTACCAAGAGAATATAATTTCTGTTACCAGTCTGTTACTGTCTGTTCCTGTCTAGCTGATGCTCTGAATATATTTTCAGGTGGACATTTTCTCGAAAGACATAATCTTGGTGCCAGTTCACTTGGGTGTACACTGGTGCATGAGCATAGTGGACTTGCGGGCGAAACACATTTCCTACCTGGACAGCATGGGCGGCAGCAACCAGCCCTGCCTGGATGCATTGCTGCAGTACCTGCGTGATGAGCACCAGGACAAGAAGGGGCAGCCCTTTGATGATAAAGACTGGAAAACTGAAAACTTGAAGGTATAGATAAAGTTCTATAGTAAAAAAATTAAGCTAGAATATAATTTACTTTCTCCCAAGATTTCATCCAAATCCATTCCATTCACCTAACCACACTTTTGCATTTGAAATAACAATTTTAATGCTCACTTTTGTGCATTTGTTGCTTAAAAGCAAAACAATCACTTTGACATTTTCCTAATACTGTTATTGTTTATTTCCAGAACATTCCGCAGCAGATGAACGGCAGCGACTGCGGCATGTTCGCGTGCACGTTCGCGGAGTTCGCGTGCCGTGACGAACCTTACAGCTTCACGCAGGCCCACATGCCTTACCTCAGGCGGAAAGCGGCTCTTGAGATACTGCGGGCAGAGCTACTCCTCTAAGTGACAGTGCAGTTTGTGTTTTTGTGAATATAATGTTATAACAATATGAATATTCTCGTTGTGTCCAAGTGTACTAAGGTGAGTGGCGAATATATATTCATGGTTCAATTTATTTGTAAACTCAAATCCTTATCAATATTGTTGTATTATATAATGACACTTTTACTGTCACAGCTGTTGTACAAATGCTTCTTATTCCAATAGTTGTCACATAATATTGTATTGTTTAGCAAACCATTAACTTTACAATCAATGAGTTAATCAACTTAACTTTCTTATCCTTAGTATGCTTATAAGGCTACTTCAAGAGCAGACTCAGTGCCCATCTCTTACTAAAAAGAATATGAATAAACAATCAAAACTGGGAAAAGTAGTCATTTTATCAAAATTGAATTGAATTTTCTGTAGAACATATTTTAAACTCAACTAAAAATACATTTTTTCCCATCTGAATGAAAAGTTCACTTTTGGTCCCTGGTCCAAGGGACGAAAGTACCAGACTTCTCTCCCAGCAAGACGACCCTCACTTTAACTCCCGGTAACCTAACAACCATTAGTTTGTCAAAACAAATATGAAGATTTTTATCCAGATGAAAAAAAAAATGTATATTCACCACAGGGAAAGTAGGACATTGTTATCCGTGATTGATAATAATCCGCGAGAATGTCCAACGTCCTGTTGTAAATAAAAGACAACAATTATGTTTTTGTTTGTTCTACTGACAGGAAATTAAAATTAATATACCACTTTCCATTACAAATGATAATAATGTTTATGTACTTGTGGCTATGTGTTAATTTATTATACTTTATAAATGTATGATTGATGTAAAGATTCTGTTTGTCACTGAAAACTGTATTCAAATTAAATTTACTTACAATTTCCATAGGTAAGATTTCGTTACTTTGGGTTTCTACTGCGACATATATTTAGACATATTGTCATTCCTTATATTGTCTTAGGAAAAGAAGAGAACAATAAATGTCAATACATGTGTCGCAGCAATGAAAACCCTAAACTTATAAGACTAGCAAAGTTCTTTGATTTTGCTTAAAAGTTATAAGTATTAGTGCATTACAATCTAAGACAATGAGAATGAAGTTGTCCATTGCCACAACTCATTTTTCAACATATCTTCCTGGTCTTAGTGTTAAATAAATGTCCTGTTTGTGAACAAAATAAACAATTTGTGAATAGTAGATAGGTTCATAGGATGTCATGTCCAAAGGCCTTTTAAATCAAAAAGCCTTTCTAAACATAGCTAACATGAAATGATAAGAATTTCTCCTCCGTACTGTATTATAATGTAGAACAATTCCATAAATCATTGTCAAACAAGTTTTCATGTCTGTCATACACAACAATGAATAATCCTTTCAAATATTTTCCTGATGTATATTTATTACTGAAGAAGTAACAACTTCTACAATATTCTAGAAAAGATGATGTGTCCGTGTTGCCAAAAGTGACATGAATTTCTTGTTCTATGTAAATATGGAAAACAGTCACTGAAATTACAGATAATTCTGGTTTTTTAAGTTAAGTCTTACATTATGGACAGGAGCTGTTGTATCACAGTTTGCTCTTTGGGAAAACATGGGTAATTAGTGCAAAAAAAATGGCAGCGAATGATTGTGTGAATTACCTATAATATGCATTTAATTATTACTTTAAAAAAAACTGTTCCATGAAAAATTTGTATTTTTTTCAAAATCATATTTTTTTATTTAGTATTGTTAAATAAATAACACAAAATTTGTTTTCATTATTTTTTTTATAAGCAACAAAATTTTCATTCAGTTAGATAGCTTATGTAAAAATAATTTGATTTTATGTTCCTACACAGAAAGTTCTAGTTTGATTTGTTTTGTATTATCAAAAGTTTCCACTTTTGATAATACAAAACAAATCAAATTCCATTTGAATAGGAAATGAATAAATGTACAGAAGTTGATGATAGCAAACTTTGCATTTCAAGTTATAACTTAAGTTAAATACATGAACACTTCTTCTGGTAAAAGTGTCTGTGAAATTTATATGTAATAAATAAACTTAAATATGTATGTAATGTAATTCTCTGGCAAGTTATTTAAATAAATTAATAAATATTTTCACTTAATCTCTTTCTATATGCCGTTTTCTCGTAATATGTAAAATTTGTTCTCTGGAGCAGTAATTCTATTATTATTATTTGATTCACCATCAACTACAACACAATGACCGTGATTTTATTTTAGCAATGAAAAATAATAAATGTCATGTTTTGTAAATATTTTTTGTTACAATAAACTTTAGTACTTACAAATATTTTATTGCTTTATTGTAACTACTAACTAAAACAATTTTACAATATGTTATAGAATAACGATGGATGAACCGGAACAAAGTCAACTCGAACACAATAACATTAGCAATTTATATAACAATTTACATTACTCTATTTCCAAATTTCTACGAAATTTACAATACAATTATTGTTAAATAGAGTAATATTTGTCATATATGACAAATAACGTTTCCATTACAAGATCTACTGTGGGTTTCTAAGATCAAAGTTTTTGTCAAGGCACCTTTGACAAAACAGAGAAAATAATATGTTTTAAACAGAGATTTTGGTCCCAGAAAGAATTACACAGTTAGGCGTTAATTTGGAATGTGGGTAGTAGCGGTAGGCAAGGCTAGTCGCTGAGTCGAATGAGGCGCAGCTTGCCGGCCTGCAGCAGCACCACGCCGGAGTCGTTGTCGCCGCCGCAGTACCTCGACGAGGAGAACACGGAGATCAGCTTGCCGCGCAGGTTGCACTGCGCACAAATCTCAAGCTATAGTAGCACTCGCTCAATGCAATAGTCTCGCCGCAGTATTCCTGGTGAGCAATCACCATGAAGCCATTCTGGTGCAGCTCGTGCGCGCGCACCACGTGCGTCAGCTCGTTGGTGGCGAGGAAGCGGTCGAGCGCGCGCTGGTCGAACACGTGCCCGGTGCCGCGCCGCGCGTTCACCGCGAACCCCTCGTTCGCCGACAGCTCCATGGCCAGCGACGCCGTTATCTTGTTCGCCCTGATCACACACCACCGCATTTCTGTCTTAGCTCCTTTCAAGAGAGTTCGTGAATCGCTCACAATGAAAGAGAACTGTGCGCGCTTCGCCGAGACCGCTAAAGAGACGCTGTCATAACTACATTTTCTGTTCATTAGGGAAAGTCTACCTAGGTCTGGTGTGCGTGTGTGTGCCATTGAATGCGATGCGATAAAATGTGGGATGAACAGTAAAGATATTATGTGTCAATAACTTGACGGGGTCGTTCCAGAGGAGCTCCCAGGCCATGTGGCTCTGCGCGGCGGGGCGCGGCAGCGGCACCGGCACGCGCAGGATGGCCGACACGCGCGGACACACCCACGGCGGCGGAATGCCTCCGTGACAGCAGAACACCTGCATTGTCTTGCATATTGTACCTTACTGAATACATATTGAGTACATATATTATAACTTTACTATCAAACCGATGGCGGCGACATTGCAGGAAAAGCCTGCCCCAAAGGATACCTACATATAAGATAGATGATGAATGGAGTGCTGTAAGTTTAACCAGTTTCCCCTTTTTTAGTAAAATAACGTGTACCTTCTCGTCGACGACGGCGGCGAGCGGCAGTACGTCGAACACGTTGTTAATGGCGTTCCAGATCTTGACGCCCTCCACCTCGCCGAACTTTGTCGTGCATTCCCTGCACCCATTGCATTTTATACAAAAGTAATAAATTTTAGTTACTTTTGTTGCGATTTTTTTTAGAACCAATTCAAATGGGCTTCACAACAAATTTAACCTAGTTAATATTAAAATCCAAATAAATATGTATATTGTTGCGCGATCACCCACGCGGTAGACAATACTAACGTATAAAAAGTAAACATAGTCTGTATGTCGCGTGTCTCGTGGTTGCCGCGCACGAGGTGCAGGGCGTGCGGGCGCTGCAGCTTGGCGGCCAGCAGGTAGGCGAGCAGCTCCACGCCCCACGCGCCGCGGTCCACGAAGTCCCCCAGGAACAGCAGCCCTGCCGGCAGCAGCGCCGCACCCGCCGGCCACAACCGCGCCTCCATCGCCAACAGCGCTGGCAGGTTGCCGTGCAGGTCACCTGCGCAAACACTGCCCTCTCACCTCCGCCCTCTGCCCTCCACCCTCCGCCCTCCGCCTCCTACCTTCGCTACCATACTAGCTAACCGATTGCATATATAGGAGAGTCGAGTCGAAGCAGGCGCGGCTCGGCTGCGCAGATGGCCTGCACCGATTCCGATAGCTTGAGCAGCGCCGCGCCCAGCGACGCCAGCTCCGACGGCTGCGCCCACGTGTACGCCGGCTTCACCTGCATTACGACCACAACCCTTCCAATTCATCCGATCGCAGCGGAGGTCGACAAAACAAAAGTAAAGATGTCTTCGAACCAATTTGGTAGTGTTGATGTCGGAGGCGAAGTAATGCACCGCGGCGAGAGTCTCCGCCGGGCTGGAGTCCGCCGCCAGCACCTCCAGCGACGTCGACGACAGAGACAGTAGCTTGATGGTGGACGCGCTCACCGCCTCCTCTGCAAACACCGAGCGCAGATCCGTACGTCCAGTAGGAGACAGTGCGACAAATAAACAACTTCTAAGTTGTAGCGCGACAGTGGTGGACGGTGCTCACCTTCGAAGCAGTCGAGGCGCAGCACGGCGGGCGGGGCGTCGCGCTCCAGGCGCACCACGCAGGAGGCCAGCGCGTACTGCCTGCCCCCGCCTCCGCCACCACCACCCCGCCGCCAGCTCGCGCTGTCCCGCGCCTCCAGCTTCTCCACCTTAGCCTTAGACGGCCGCACCTCACCCTCCGGCTCTGACAAGGAAACCGTTGTTTTTACGTGTTTTTTACCAGATGAATACAGAAACAGCAATTTACAAGAATTTTTTAAACATCCACTCACCAAAATGTGTCGCACTCTTGACGGAGGCCGCTTTCGCCATGCAGTCGCGTTCCCTGAAAATAATTAGGTACCCTTCTATCTATCTGTCCGTAAAGAAGAAAAGCGTTGTGTGAAGGTCTGGCGAGCTCACTGCAGGTCTATGACGTAGCCGAGCAAACTGCGGGGCGCGCGCAGCAGCGAGCTGGTGCCGCGCAGGCGCAGCTCCCGCACCGCGCGCAGGAACTCCGCCAGCGGCAGCGGACTGTTAGCCTGCAGGCCCAGCTGTCTGCACACGGACACACGACACAAAGCAAAGGCATTAAAACATTTGAAAGTTATTTAAAACGTTAAAGTCGAGTAGCCCGGGAGCTGTGGGCTAGAGTGATGGACGGCCGGAGAGACAGGCAATGCGGTACTTGTAGCAGAGGTCGACGTCTCGCACGACGCTGAGCGCGTCCGTGGAGAGCTGCCTAGTAGCGCGCGCAGCCGCCACCAGCTCCTTCACCTCCACCTGCTGCAGCTTCTGGTCGCGGTCGCCGTCGTAGTACCTGCGAAGGCGCTCATTAGAAACTCTAACGAGAAAGTGATCACTGCAAGGTCTTCACGGCAGAACATACCTGAAGATGTACCGGCAGCGTATCTCGGCAGGCAGGCCGCTGTGCTGGGTGACGGGCTCGGTGGCGGCGCTCCACAGCACCAGCTCCTGGAACGACAGCCCGCCGCGATTGCTCACGTCTGCCGCCCTATAGTATTTATGAAACGAATAGAATCCTAATAGGTTGCACACACCATTAGATACTCGGCTGCCATACCGGAAGAGGTTGCT